GTGGAGATGAAATGATGATGTTATCTCAAAGACATTTATGATATGAACTGAAGTAAAATTATCTCAAAGAGATTTGTAGTGCAAATTTTGTTCATTTGAGTGGACCCTGGTAAGATCTACAATAGAGTAATAAAGTTTTAAAAAAGAATTGTATCTGTAAAGACAATCCCAGAGAGAGTACAAAATAAAAAGGTGTTGCTTGGCACCCAAAATTTTATGAGCAGAAGGCAAGCTGAGAACATTATGTGGCTATAAACATATGCCACCTTTCTTGATAAAGGAAAATTGATCTAGAGGGTAAAAAATTGACTTTGAGGGTAGAAGTAACAGCCAAGAGAGTGCAGCCAAGAGCCTGGGGCTAGGTTCCAATCAAGGAGCTTGCATTTTTCCAGCTTAATTTCAGGACAGTATGGACCAGTACCTCCATTTTCTCCCTTTCAATAGGCACATCCCCAGTAATTATCATGCCCCTTCACCACTGCACAGTAGGTGTGGGACTCATGGTATTTTAAATAACTGATTAACAGTAACTATGAATGGACTAGAAGAAGGCAAAACTGAATGCAGAGGTACTAGTTAAAGCAATTGCATAAAACCAAGTAAAAAATAATAAAGATCTGAACTCAGTGAGTGTGGGATGGAGAGAAAATAAAAGATCTGAGAGACATTAGGAAGGCAGAATTTAAAGGACTTGTGGTAGAGAGAGACTTTAAAATTGAGTGATCTAGTAGAGTTTTGACTAGGATATTTGGGTCAAAAGTAGTGCCATCTACTAAAATGGAGACAGTCAGACAGACAGACAGACAGACAGACAGACAGACAGACAGACAGACACTTATATAAATATCATGAATATAAAGACTCAGGCACTATTGTGAATATACAGATGTTGACAAATGCTCGTTCTTATTGTCACTCTTATTGACCTCTGTCCTCTATCTTTCTTATAAAATCTGATTTAATTATGTCATTGATACTTCGTGTCACAGTTGTCTTCAAATAAAGTGAAAGCTTTTGGGATAGAAGTGGTCATGAGAGTTATTTCTGAATAAGTAGAAATCCAGTAGGGAAAGAGTTTCTATATCTTTAAAGAGGCTCTGCAGATAGAACTTAGAAAGCCATTTTTGGTTCCCATCTGATGGTATTCACAGTCTTTGTAATCTACTCTTGAACATAGGCAGAGTCTATGGCTTGCTCATAATCAATAGAATACAACAAAGGTAATGAGTTCTTATTCCCATAATGAGGGTACTTTTTAAAAAATGTATTTGATTGTTACAGGGTCTCATTACGCAGATTGGACTCATGGTGATCCTCCTGTTTTCAGCCTCCCTAGTCCTGGGATTACAGGTGTATGTCACCATGCTCAAACTCTGTCTGGCTCAGCCTGCCCTGGGGGTGAGGCTGGCACAGCATGTAGTGCTGGGGATGAAACCACAGTCCCTGAGCTTTCCTAAGCAGGTGCTTTAGTCCGCTGAGCTGTCTTGCTGGCCCCGAGGGTACTTTTTTATGCAAAGGTGAGAAGAAGTCACCCTATGGATTTAGGATGTTTTTTTAAAAACCCTCTGCATTAGCAGATTGGATCTAGAGCCAATTTCTGTTCCTTGCTGATTGTGAGGAAGTTTGATACCATAGTGAAAGACCTGTGCAGGGAACCATAGGGAAGGAAACGGTGGGCAGGCTCTGGCATCTGCATCTAGGTCCCCAGAAATATTCAGCAAGACCACAACTTCCATCCTGTACCACAAGGAGATACTATCTGTCAACCTCCTGAAGGAATATGAAGTGGATCAGTGCTCATTCAAGTCTGTGTAGAGACATCAGCCTGGTAAGCAGAGATCCCTGAAGCAGAGTCCAGTCTCGTGCCTGGACCCCTACAGAAATTGTGAGATGACCAATACTTGTCATTTTATATCACTGAGTTTGTTGTAATTTGGTACATAATAAAAATAAAAACAAAAAGTCATAGAAGAATCATAGTAGCTACACAAAAACCAGCTTTGATCAAATATAAGAAGTGTATTTCACTAAATAGAACAATCTAAAAATGAAACAAGCCTCGGTAGGAAGTATTAATTCCCCATTACATAAGGTTTTAAGCAAATGATGTCAGTCCATCAGCTAGATGACAGCAGACTGTACTGGTTAATCCCCATAAGGTTCTTCCCACATTTACTTATTTGATTTTTAATTGACGGATCATAATTTGGCACAGTAGATCAGTAATTCTTTATACCTTCTGACATTTTATACCTTTTGATCAATGGTAGCATCTCCAGTAACTGCCCTTCTTCTCTCTACTACGAGTGCAACATTTTTAGAATCTACATGTGTAACATGGTTTTACCTGTTCATTTTGACCTGGTTCAATAAAATGGTGGATAAACACTAGTTCCTTCATACAACCAAAGATGCTACTGAAATTTCATATTCTCAAACAATAGATTATTCAACCAGATCACTTGATTTTAAAGTTCAAGTAAAAACACAAGATAAACACTACTTAATTATTTACTTATTATTTTAAAGAGCATACTATTTTAGTTTAAAACAATTATATTTATATAGCATATTACTGTAATTCTATGAAATCTTTCAAAAACATTGGCTACAGGTAGCCTGTTTGGGATACCAGACAGAAGTATCTGATTTAAAAATCATCAATCAAAAAGGTAAGTCAGATACTAGAAGGATAAGCTGCATTTTTTGGGTTTTTTTTCTTTTTTGTTTATGTATTTGATATAGAGTCTCATTATGCAGCTCAGAGTTGTAGTGATCCTCCTGTTTTCAGCCTACCCTGTGCTGGGATTACAAGCGTGTGCCACCATGCCTGAACTTGGTCCCTGGCTCAGTGCGCTGCGGGGGTGGAGCCAGTGCAGCATGCGGGACCGGGGATCAAACTTTGGTCCCTGTATTTGCCAAAGCAGATGCTTAGTCTGCTGAGCTAACTAGCTGGCCTTTGTGATTTTTTTTTTTTTAGTAAGGGTCTACAGGGTCTCACCACACAGATCAGACTCATAGTGATCTGCCTGTGTTCAGCCTCCCAAGAGCTGGGATTACAGGCACATGCCACCATGCCCAGTCTCAACCATCTCTCAGCAAGCCTCAGGGGTGGGGCCAGCTGTGTCTGTCTAAACAGGCATTTTAATCCACTGAGCTAATTGGCTGGTCCACGATTTGATTTTGATAAGGAATTTTTATCTAGAATATCCAGAAAGGAGATGCTTAAAACTAAATAGTATGACAACCTAGTTAAAATCTATGCAAATAGACACCTGTTACAAAGCATCCCTGAACAGCCAACAAACATATCGAATACCCTTAATATGATTGGTCATTAGGAAAAGAAAATGAAAACCACTGTGAGCTCCCACCCCAAGCCCACCTGAATGATGACCATAAAGAATACAACAAGGAAGTGTTCTGAAGATTCAGAGGCACACACCCTCCTATGTAGATGGGAGAACACAGAATGGTATGACTGTTCTGTAACTAGCTTGATAGCTTTCAAAAATTAAACATGCATTTTGTGTACAATCCAGAAATTCTATTCCTAGGTATTTACCCAATAGAACTGAAAAATCTACCTCCACACAACAAATGCTAACTGCACAGTAGAGCAGTACTTGTAATAGACAAAAAGTAGAAACAACAACAAAAAATCCTTCAACTAATGAATAGATAAAACGATAGAACTGAAATGGAATATTATTCAGCTAAAAAAGGAGTAAACTGGTGAACTGTTGTACAGTGGGGGCACACCTCAAAAACAATAACTAAAAGAAGCTTGACAGCTACTCACAGCATGGTTCCACTCACATGAAACGTACAGAAATGAAGCCCAATTAGAAGAGAAAGCATATTAGCAGGTACCCGGGGTGAGGCATGGGAAGAGAAGGGACTGTAAATGGGAGCAGGGCATATTCTGGGCTAACAGATATGTTCTAAAATTTGGTTTTGTGGAAGTCGCACAATTCTGTGGATGCCCTGCCAACCCAGCTGCAAAATTACAGCAGGTGAATTTCTCGGTATGTGAGGGGAGGAAAAGGGATGTAAAGAGAAATGAATTGTAGTGTGTACATGTGCCCACTGCCCAACAAGTGTGATTACAAGCTGCATACACTCCAAACATGCACTAATAAACTTTTTAAATTTTAAGTCAAAAATTATATCTTAATAAAACTTCTTTTACCTACTAGACTGGAATTAGATAGTACCCGCTAGACTGTAATTGCATGTGAAGGATAGATATACAAATGATGCTGGGACCTCTTGCCCTGACAAACTTTATGGGTCCAAGTGCTCATACTTCCAGCAGGGAGTAGGAAGAGGTAGACCAGCACTTATTCCTGGAGAAGGCATTTGCAAGCAAATTCACTATGGGTGAGAAATAGCAGGGACAACAGGAAGACGT